CGCGCCCTCTTCGCTCACTTCCACGGCGGCCTCTGGTGTGTGGCTGGGGAAGAAGATAATGGAAAAGTAGGGTTTGACCCCTTCATTTTAACTAGTTTTTTACCCGGCCAGTTGGCCAGAGAAGTTCATTTTATTATTTATATTAGTTAATTTATCTACATTATCTACATATTTGAACTTTTTGAATCTTGCATACATTTTTCGCTCTCGCTTCATAAGTTAATATTTGGTATGCCTATATCGAAAATTCTTAATATTTAATAGTTAGCACACTCGCTTGTGATGTTTTTATTCTCTGATCACAAATCATGTCGTAAAGGTTTATCACGACCCATTTAGGATCGTATATAAAAAACTTTCCACCATGACCCTCAAATTTATTATCTTATGCAACATATATCAATTCATGATTCTCGAGTTTGTACGAACTCTAAGCCAATTAATCAGAGTTCAAATTATTGGAAAAAGATATTTGATTACTGGATAAATTATGTTTATACCAATTAAAATTTGACACACATCGTATCCTTATAATGATTAAATTCTCTAAACCTCACTCATTTTTATTGTTGATGTTCATGAAGTCTTAGTATAGCAACTTATGACAATTTTTCTATCAAGATACACATTATTATTATTATCTTACAATATATATCAATTGCTAATATTTTAAGTTTGGACTAACTTTCAACCCATGCCTTTTGTCTAGATGTTTGTTTAGAATCTGAATCAAAGGCATTCATATACACTATCGAAGGTTCTCATCTTAACATGTTCCTTCAATGTATAATTTTTCAACTATTTGAATGTCCATTCGCTAAAATTTCTTTATATTTGGTTTTTGTTATAGAACAAAAATTTCATTACTTATATTAATAATTGGTAAAGTGTGTATACGACAGACAATATTTCAGGTGCATTCAAAATTATGTATTCCTTGAATAATTAACTTATAATTTTTTAACAAAATATTTTGTAACAAAATTTAAAAGTTCATACAAATATTGTTGCTTTTCACATGTATTTAAATTATTAGATGTATTGTAGACACATCTATTGTTAATATCTACACATATATATACAGAGAGTTTATTTTAATTTCAACACTAATTAATACCTTTGAACTCGGCACTTTGTGTGAAATATGATATCAATTTTTTTTTGTTATTGCCAAAATTTGATATGAAATCACAGGCTCACAACTATATAGACTTGTTACAATTTTCTTACTAAACTCATATTTATTAAATATTCTTCTTTTGACCCAATAGCTCGGTTTATACTATTGTAACTATAAATGTTTTTTGTTATATATGTGAAGTAAAACTTTAATGTTTATTATTACCTCAATCGTCGAATTTAGATTTTTCTTAGCATGAAATGTGATGTTTAACATACATCCTTAACAAAGATTTCTCTAAATTTCACACATTTCATTTTTCAAGGGATCTCGTGTCTCGTCCTAGAATATGAAGTCAAAGTTCATCAACTATTATACTCAAGTCATTTTGAAAATTCAATTTATAATCTTAACAATAAATAACTCCAAGTCTGAAAAGAAAATTTCTTAGCATATGATGTAAGACCTCAATAGAGCTTGCTCAATCAACATGACCTAGAGAAAATATTAGTAATGTGAACTTAGGATACATTATAAATACTGCACATGCGATTCATATGTTTTCACTTGATGAGAATGAATAAGAAGCTTTTTTAATAAATAACTATTATTCTTGGTCAAGTTTCTTTCAGACATTATCGACAAAATATTATTATTATTGTGTATTTGTTTAAATTATTCATTAAAATGTAAATTATTATTAAGTTTTAGTAAAAATGAGCAGAAATTTATATAGTAATCTTTAATCATATATTTTTTGGTTTAAAAGGTGTGATATATATATGTCACACTACGAACATTAGTATACTGTTGAGTACATCGATAAAATGCAAAAAACAATATGTGATATATGTCACTCTCCATCATGATTGTCACGTCGGTCGGATGCCACCGGTTGAACCATTCAACCGGTACTGGTCATGAAATCGACATGACACAATCGGTATGACCGGTATGATCGTTTTACGAATTTCTAAGTAAAATACGTAGTTTTAGTGAATTTAAGTATGAGTAAATGTAATTTTATTTGAAATGTCATATTTTATTCAAATATCAATATGAATTTTTGATATTTCTACATATTTTATTAACCGGCATGAACCGACGCAAACCGGTTGTACTACTGGTAAAACCATTCCACTTGCTAAACTGGTTTGATAACCTTTCTCTCCATATTATTTATAGATATAATGCAAGAACAAAAACAAAATAATTATGGGATAAAAGAGAATTAAGTATTAAATGAAGAGAGAGGGACAACTCCATAAATAGGTCAATAACTACTTTTTTTGTAAAAAAATTATCCACCTTGGCAACTTGAGATCTCTCCAAGTGCTTATGTGGCAAAAATTTAATTTTGAATTGCCATAATATTATGTATAGAATAGATAGATAGAAGATAGATAGATTTTTTTGGTTTTTTATGTTTGAAATTATAAATAAAAATTAATTTGACGTGGTAGGTGATGTGGCTGCTAACATGGCTTTTTCCGTTACAAAGTTAGTAATGCTAACGGAATGTTAGCCATCTGTTTACGCGCAACAATAATTATGGCTAATAATTTGTATTTTTATAGTTGTGACTATAATTCTCTGTTGCTTAATAGTTGTGACTAATATATTTTATTTACCCAAAACAAAAATATGAATTCAATGTTATGTAGTGCCCTAATTCAACTTAAATGACACACCTCCAAAATCAGCAAAGGTAAGTGGTATCACATACATTTCTCTCTAGGGGTGTTCAAACGGTTTGATTACCATGGTAACCGTTTTAACCGGTACTATTTGGATAATTTGGTTTGGTTAATTTGGATAATTGGTTTGGTTTGGTTAAAGTTTTTAGCTTGTTTGATTTAGGTGGTTTGGTTTGGTTCCAGACACTCCTAACCAGTCAAACCAAATTAATCAGTTAAGTAATTAGTCATATATCTAACATATATTATATACACATACTTAATACTTTGCATAACCACTCAAGAGTTAACGTTCATCCATTTTAGACTCATAAAATATAAAGCTCAATATTGCTCATATAGTGTATATTTGTATATGTAAAATGTAGATCACAACATATGGACGCCTAATTTAGATAAATTTCATACATTATGATGGATGAAAACTTGAAAGGAAGGTCATTTCCAGCCTATGATAATTGCTAAGAGACTAAGTCAATTTACACAAACACAACAATTCATTAACCCATACCATTGTCATAAATATTTGTTAGGTGAATACTTCTATACTAATCGTAAGATAATTGTCTTAGTTGCATGTATTTTTGTTAAGGGTCAACTATAACTACGTGTTGGTTGTTATGTTTTATTCATTATATAAATTTCGAATTGTTGCATTAACCGGAAAATTTTCATCGTCAATGATAATGTGATTTTATATTGGTTAATCTGGTTAACCAATTAACCAAAACGATTAAACTTTAGTTTGGTTAATTTGGTTGTTGTATTAGTTTGGACGGTTTGGTTATGATATTGTATTCCATGATTAATGAAATTTAGCCTTATTTGGTTTGATTATAACCATGGTAACCATTTGAACACCCCTATTTCTCCCTGCCTCCCTGCAATAACATAAAGCATTTTAATCCAAAAAAATTATAAAGAATTGGGGTGGAGATTCGAGCCTAATTCTCTTGATTCAAAACAATCAAAATGAAAATTGAGGATTTATTTTAAAATGTTTATTATTTAGTCATTGCAATTATTAACATTAAATGAAAATTAATTTTTTATTTTTATATAATGTTATGTTTATCCTTAACCAAAAGAATTCAAGTTGCTAAGAGATATTGAGGATTTATTAGTAAGGATATTTAGCGGGAAAATTAGAAAAGAACGAGATAAAGTTGGACGAAAAAAAACTAAAAAATAAAGTATATAATCTCTTTTGATTAGTAGATATTTGATATATCCAGATTTCAGAGACTTGAAATGTTTGAAGAAAAATGCCAAAGGTCACATAGCCCAATTGATAAAACTTTCGAGAGATCCTCGATCGGAAAGTGTGAGGTCCTGTATTTGACTCAATTCGAGGCCCACTTGTAGTGTTCTCGGAGGCACTAAAAGGGGATCTTAGTGGAGGGCACAAAAGACTCAAGCAGGTGAACCTCCAGGTTTGGTCTCGCTCCGCCATCGCTCAAGGCTGTGTGCGTGGGTAGTGATGGCAATTTGAACCCGCCCCGACTCGCGATGGGGCGGGTATTACCCGACCCGCAGTAGCGTGGGGCGGGACATGGGTATCTACTTCTAACCCGCCATGCCCCGTTCTTGGCCCATTCTAGCTCAATTTCTTGCAACATCTATGCATATTTCTCCTATTTTCACTTTCCTTCAACTAGTTAGAGTCGATCTTTCAACTGGTTAGACTCAATTACCCATTCTATTCTCACTATTTTTCATTCATAAAGTGTTTTCCCCTTCGTTTTATCATTAAAAAGTAAAAATTGCGTGCATTTTTTTCAAATAACATGTAACAGTGGGTCGACTCGCCCCGCCCCGTACTCGCGCGGGTTTTACCCGCCCTGACCCGTAGTAGCGTAGGGCAGGGCATGAGTATTGAGGTACCCGCCCCACCCCGCCCCATTGCCATCACTATGCGTGGGATGTTCATCAGTTATAAAAAAAATTGTTTGAAGAAAAATCTACAATACAAAAACAGGAAAAAATATTACTCTCTATTGAATCTACAAATTCATTATATCCATGATCCAAATTCTTTAAAGTCGAGACCAAATATTGTAAGACCGTACCGAAGATTGTATGGAAAAAGTCAACAACATAATATTTTATACTAAATTGTGATTCAACTATTAGATACCACTAAATACTATAAACCGATTTAGTTTCCGCTCCGCTAAAATAATTTCTGGTCGAACCGCATACACTATTCCATTTTCAATCTTGGTCCAAACTACTTAGTAGCAACCACTCGTAACATGCTATTGCTAATTGAGCTGGAGGGAAGCAAGTTCGAGTCGAATAATAAACGAATGAGTCACCTCTGTGCCTAAGTGAAAAAACCCGCATCAGCCAATCATCACCTAAATGGCTGGGAAATCTCTATCGTCGCTTCTCTGTCCCTTTGCCTTCCCATTCCTGTGCTATCTCGGCCTTCAATCTTCAATTATCTGCCGGAGTTTTTTTTTTTTTACACGAACCGGCTGGTGTTACGGGGAAAATATGTACAAGTCCTCCCTTCAGATCTTCTGCCAACGGAAAAAGTGGCTGCTCCCGGTTTACTCCGCCACCAAAGATGGCCCCGACCACCGTCCGCACTTCTTCGCCACCGTCACCGTCAACGGAACGTCTTTTGCATCGGAAGTCGCGGCCAATTCCGCAAAGGAGGCACAAAATGAGGCCGCCAGAGTGGCGTTGGTACAACTCGGTTCCGCCGACGCTTCTCCGTCGCCAGGTAAAAAAAAAAAAAAAACTCCACTTCTAGTCGAGGGTTTTTAGCTCAATTTTATATCCGCCTCTACTTTGTGTGAGCTGCTTACCATAATTCTGTACATCTTGATCTCTGTCGCCGTTGTGATCGGTGGATTATGTTCCATGCAGGTGCCTTGGATTCAAGCCATGGAGCTGTTTCTGGTGAGGGATCACAAGCTATCGATGAAATTCCACAGGCAAGCGGATTTCCTGCAGCTGGTAAACCGCCAGAGACCGTCATAGGTGGCTTCTTCTTCCTATTGTTCTACTTCTACCACGAATTTATGGTTGATGATCAAAATATACGTGAGCATTTTCTGTAGCTACTGTGTGAATCCTTGGGTATTATAGATATACTTGGTGGTTTCCTTATGATTGTTTGATCTTAAAATATAGTACTTGCTTTGCATGGCGACTTCTCAGTTTATTATTTGCAAGAAAGCAAATCTCACCTTACCTGGTTAAGAGTCTTGACATAAACGTATGGTTTTGTTTCCTGCTTCTTCTGTAGATATGCAGCATTTGTGCAAAACTCAGTTGCAAATCTATGCTCAGAAGAGAAGTCTTCCGTTGCCAGTGTATGCTCATGAGCGGGATGGTCCTTGCCATGCTTGTAGGTTCAAGTCTACTGTCGCTATTGAGGGAAAAACCTACTCGAGCGAGCGATTCTTCCCTACATTGAAAGATGCTGAAAATTCAGCAGCAAAGGCTGCATTGACGTCATTGTTGCCTACTGGTAGTGGAGAGGTCAGCTTTGAAACAACCTAGTAGGGTATTTTTATGTCTCTCATTAGCGTATGCTGACATGCTCCCTACTTATTTATGATATGTTGTTGGTGCTCGTTCCAGGAGGAAATCAGTTACAAGAACCTGCTGCAAGAATTGGCTCAGAAGAAGTGTTTTCTTCTTCCCGTTTATGTCACAACAAGAGCTGGTGATGTTCACGCATCTACTTTTGTTTCGACAGTGGAGGTAAATCAGCAGGTTTTTACTGGAATAGAAGCAAGAACTAAGAAACTGGCAGAGATGAGTGCGGCAAAGGTTGCTTATACAAATCTTAAAGAGTGTAGGTATCAACCGTTATCCGTTGTATTTATGTATGTTCTTGTTTGGTTTGTCCTATAGATTTTCGATTTTGTGTAGGTCTAGGTTTACTCTTTGAGCTACCTATGATTGAAACTTGGACATATGTATGTCGTTTGTGTTTAGGGTGAATGGGGCAGTATACAGTTTGTTGCTTCATATAAAGAAGTTAAACTCGTGTTTGCTTTCAGACAAGCAACCATATCTTTGTTAGTTCGCTTCTTTCTCTCCACAGTCATATTTCTCCTGTTTATGGAATTAAATTGCTTAGGTTATTGCGAGGAGTTTTCTCTGTGTGTCTTTTCCATGCAAATATCTCAATTTATGTGCTGTTTGATTAGGCAATTCGTGTGAAAGTGCCGCAGGCCCTGTTGATGTTAGCCAAGAGCAAGAACTTGGCTTGCCAACTCCAAAAGTTGACTTTGGCATACTGGCTCATCTAAATCAGAATTTTCAGCCTAAACTTCACCCTGTTGCTGCTAGCAAAGGACAAGAACTTGTTTCGTCATCTCCTCAGGTTGAGTTGTGTCACCTCAATCATTCTAATAAGAATATCCCGCCTGAACTTCTTGTTCCAAGCGAAAAGCTGGACCCTACAAGTAAGAACATTTCTTCAAAGCTATATGAGACTTTGATTTTGCATCATCAGCTTTTGTGCTGGAAGCACCTTGTTTATGGGGGATATCCACTCTTTTATTAGATTTTCTGTTAGCAATGAACCAAACTATTGATGCACCAGCAGCTTATCTCATGAACCGTAACTTTATTGCACCATGTCATCAGAATCTAACAATGTATGCAAGGCCAAAATAGCTTATGTTTTCTTCCTCTTTTATTCTTTTGCTATTGTTAATACAAAATGACCCTTCATTGTTAAGAGAAATTAATTTCTTGACGTGAGATGTGACATTATATTGGTGGGCGTGCATCTGTGTTACTGGTAACTCTCATAAACCTACTCTCTTACTATGCATTCAGGTGCTGCTGATTCTTCCACCATCAATCCTGGTTCTTTTAGCGGCAAAACAATTGGAAAACTTCCATCTCCACCTCTGGTCAGCCCATCATCCGTATCCAATCTCAAGGAGAAAATTGCAGATACCGATACTGCAATTGCAGGTATGCAGTGGAACTTTGTTTGGCGTGAGTTATTAATCTCCAAGGAAATATGCATGTTTTAACTGTACACATGAACTATTTTTATTTGTGGCACAAATATATAAACATGTGTTCCAATCTGAGCAGGTACCGAGCCCTCAGTTATACACCCCGGTGCGGACAGAACCGAAGTGGTTGGAAATCCTCCTGCTTCACATCCACCAGCCTCTCCATCTTTCACTCTAGTTACCCATTCTGGTGGTGCTGTGGCTTCTGATTCAAGCATCCAACATCAGAATGGTCCGACCCCTAGACTCCCGTCAACGTCTCACATTCCTTCAACTATGCCTGCAAATGGCGAATCGTGTTCAGGTATCAGTGGTCTTATCAGGTCCAACATCGGACTCCCGAATCGGATTGTCATTCATCCACGCAACATTAGCCCCACTTATCCTACAGGCAGCACCGTGCTACCGGTCAACGATACCAATTGGGTTGCTGTGAGCAGCCCTCCTCAATCAACCATGTGAAAAGCATGGATCCTTATGAAGAATGGCTTGGTTTGGCTAGTGTTCTGAGGCTGCTCGTGTAGGATTTGTAAAATCTTTTAATATTTTGTGACCCTTAATGTGGTTGATAATAGAGGTTCGTTTGTAAACAAGTAGTGTTACTTTCATAATGTTCATGCTAATGCTGTAGTATTTTGGTCGCCAAATTAAACATCACAAGTGGGTATCTCGAATGTGATAGTCGTGTCAGACTCCACGGTAGGATTTATGTTGTAATCTAAGTGTAGGGATCTATTTTGGAATCGATGTTTCTTATAAAATGTGTTTATCTTTAGAAGAACGCTGTCGTAGTTTGAGTATACCATGTCGGTGAAGGTCTTTTATCCGATTGTATTATAATTAGGGCGATTGTATTATAATTAGGGCCACAATTAGCAATCCCCCCTTTCTAATTCTATCTAACTTGATTCTTCATTCCTCGCAAAGCCATTTATCCGATCACAAACAATCTTGGTACCTCTATAGAGAAACAAAGGGTTAATTTTGAAAGAACTCGGTGTAAACTATTCGTATAAAGATAAATCGATTCTCTATAGAGAAATTAAGCGTCAATTTTGAAAGAAAAAAAACTCGGTGTAAACTATTCGTATAAAGATAAATTGGTTTATGTTTGATGAAATTTTTTATTTGGTATGCATGAAATTGTTGTATATGAGTGGTATATAACTAAATAATATTGTTGTAGCTTAGTAACGGTGTCGAATAGGAATGAAACTCGTGAATACGTGATGGTGGCAATGTATTTGAAAATTTTGAACTTCAAGATATATAAAAATGGATATTATTGTGTAGGATACATAAAATATAAGTTCTTGGCACAAAATATATAAATTCAAAGGAGAAACAAAAGAGAGTGTTAGATGACATTTTAATAGGAGGATCGGAAAAATTAAAAGGAAAATTAAACTAAATAAAAAGTAACTACTTTTTCAATTCAAACAGTTAGAACTATGAAGAAAAAAAGAACAGTGAAATGTGCACAAGAATTCAAATAAATTTGAAATGGTGAAGTGCATATAGAAAAAAATGCTTATTGCAAAGAATATTTTTTTTTTTTATAAATGATAGATAGTTACATGGAACTATACTATTTTGTAGGGGTAATACACGGATTTATATGCTTAAATTCTGATTTCAACTCTCTCACAGATGAAACTTATTCCAAACAACGATGTCAAACTTCCTTACCTTGACAATTTACAAATATTTGAATTTGATACCATTAATATCGGTATTAGATAGTAGTCTTAACCATTTCATTTTGATCGAATTGGTTAATGAATAAGTTTTCAGAACCAAATTGATTAAACTTATCAATTAGTCGCAACAATAACGTTGATTCAGTTATATATACAGTAACACATAGATTAAGTTAACCATAACACATTCTCTCACTACTTAAAACTAGGTTGAACCGAATCAGTGATTGACAGCTTCTTTGCGTTGCATTGAATCCTTCAGATTAGGGATGGCAACAAAATCCGAACCCACGGGTACCCACCCGACCCAACCCGGTCAACGCGGTTAAAATCCGTGTTGACGGGTTTTGGGCCGGGTTTGGGTTTAAACCCGTTCACTATTCATCGGGTTGGGTTGGGTTTGGGTTTAGGTAAACCCAACCCATGGGTACCCGCTCACACCCATATAGTTAATTTTCTCGGTATATTTAATATTCTAAACAATAATCTTATTTATGTTTGTGGAGACATGTCTAATTTTTTCTTTCAAATTGTGTAGAATGAAGTTGATGTTATCGAGTGGAGAGTGAAGAAACTTAATTGAAAGGAAGAAGCTTTCAGTTAATCATGTTATTTATGGATAATTTGTGATTTGCTTCAATTTTCTTGAGTTTTCTAGATTAGTGTTGAACAATTTGTATAGTTAATTTGTGATTTGCTTGAGTTTTCTAGAATGGTGTTTTATATATGGATAATTTGTATTGAGAGATTGATATTTGACTTTAATTTTGATAGGAACTTGTTATTGTAAATTTTTTACGACAAAAACCCGTGGGTACCCATGAACCCACGGATACCCAGCGGGTTGGGTTGGGTTTGAGTTTTTCAAACCCAGTGGGTTTTACCCCGAGTTTTTTTCACGAATAAACTCATGGGTTTGGGTTTGACAAAACCCGACCCAACCCGACCCATTGCCATCCCTACTTCAGATCAAGTTATCAACATGCGGAATGTTGGCCGGGGTTGTCGTGTTCTAACCTAATTTTAGAGTTGTTGATGAGTAACGAGTTACCATTGATCACCGAGAAGCCGAGAATCCAACGGAATCAGAGATTCGTTAGGCTCTAACTGGTTACCCGTCTAACCGAGATCATGCATAAATCAGAACATATCATGGCCAAAATTTTCATCGGCATTAATCTTCTACAAAATTTTCATCGGCATTAATAAAGGTTTTACAATCTCCTCACAAAATAATTCATCGGATCTGAAATTCACAACTCGATGCAACCGAACATGAACAGAACAAAGCATAATGCTGGAGACTCACATGAGAACCCTTTCCACATTATTGAGGGCCCTTTTGGCAAGTTTGAATTTGCTAGCGAGGGCCTTGTTAGGTTTCACTACATACTCCCTGATGAAGAACTCCATTCCAATACGAAGTGGTTCCAGTTCTTCATCGCCTGCTAAGCGAGTGAAAGTGTTCCAAACGGTATTACCAGGGTACTCGAATATCGACTCAAACAACATCCGGAAATGCATGATCCTTTTGGGGGTTAGCTGTGCGGCGTCATCAAAGTCAATGGTCTTGACCACTGAAAGGGAGAGCACAAAAGAAGCAACCATCTCTGCTACAAACTTGGCTAGGTGCATTGACCTCTGAAGCGACATTGATTCCAGCTCTTTGAAGTGGTCTCTAATGCAAAACTGTTGAATTGGCAATACACAACAAAGTCTTAAGGGTCGTTGAAAACCAGTGATTGGTAGCATGTTTATATTTAAGAACACCTGTGTTTCGAATAAGTGAATCGTATGATTCTGAGGACACATTGCCTGAATGTTTTGGCAAATTCAAATTCTAGTACTGTAGTTCACGAAAGTTCGCAGTTCACTGTATTCATTTTGTCCGTAGAAGGATGCGCAAGAAGGAAAAACAAATGGAGATACCTGCAATGTGAACTTGTGGTTCTTTTCATGTTCACACAGTTTGGAGGCCAAAACAGTGTAATACTTGTTAAAGACTTTCTCCTGTAAACAGCACTCAACGAGGACCCGCATAATCTCCCTGTCCTGTCGATGCAAGTTGGAGCAGATCGACACAGTTACGGTATAAAGGTTGGACAGGAAGAAGAATAATTGCAGCAGCACAGAAGTTTAAGGAAGTTGAAAAAGACAAACCTGCTTCCCCGGCAGATCTAATCTCAGAAGCTTCTCAAAGGCATCCACGTAATCCTCTCCACTCATTATGATACAGAAGATTGCCTTTCTTGTATCAGTATTCATCCTCTGAGCAGCGGCAAGCTGCAGCATGCTTTGAGCCTCCAGCAACTCTTTGTCAATTGTATTTGCAACTTTTTCAGCATCATCAGCTTTACCAGCAAGATCACCGGACAACCACCACTGACCCTTCTTGTGAGGATCGAGCAGCTTGCTCCATTTAAGTCCTCGAAGCAGGATGTCTTCAGCGCTCAACTAAAAACGTAAGAAATGCTTAAGCATACTAAAATGCGCCATATAAATTCATGACAAGAATTCTATAATCACAAAACACAAGTTCTTGTTGAAAGAAAAAGTATATGCCTACTTTGGTTATCAATCATAAATCATCAAGATTGCATTTTTGGCGAAGAACTAAGTTACAGGCAAAAAAAAGTATTGAACAAACCGGTGGAAATGAATGGAGAAAACCGAAAGACCTTTTGCAGCCACTTCTTGATCCGGGTGTGTTCTGAAGTTTCACCATGAAGCCTCTTCTTGTTATTTTTTATGTCGCATATGGTTTCAAGCATGAATTCCATCTGCAAAAGTTTCAGTTAAGGCTTTACACCAGTAGGGATGCTGCATTGAGGCTGTCAAAAGATATTTTCAGCCACTAAAACTCACCCTTTTGCCGTTGATTTTTTCCTGTTCTTCAGTAGATGAAGCCTTCAGCTCATGAACCCTATTCTGAACAGTCTGAATGAAGTTTTTCATGACAGCAGGGTCATCTCCTCTTATTTTCATCCCACAGCCTACATAGACAGTGAACAGAACTTAGGCATTTGGAAAATGCTCCAATAAAAAAAGCAATTTAGCATCACCAAGACCACAATGAGACATATCCAGGGTGATTTGGGGGACTTCGATGTCCACTAGCTACAAAACCGCTTTAAGCTCGACAGTGGCCATATATGTTCAACAACTACTACAGTCTAACATATGCATCTATTAGAAGTTAAAACTGACAAGCAACGGGACTTCATGGACTGTGAAGTCAAACACTTGAGACATTCACAAGTAATGGAATTCCATAGCGAACATCTGAGACAAGCTAAAGAGAGAAGGAAGTTACATTGCAAAACAGTCAAGATGGTGGAAACATCAACCTCTGTCAACCGCTTGCTCAACATAATCAAAAAGTCGTATATCAAATCACTGAGACAATGGGGAACAAAGGCAATGTGTCAGAACATATTTGGCCATAAGTATATTGAAACAACAGGAGCTTGCAACTAGTTCATCTAATTTTTTAGTCTATATAATTAGTCTATATTTGCCCTTAGAAGTGCCTCTCAATCTTGGATGGAGAGGCCAGCTACAATGTCTGAAGAGAGAGTAGCATGCACACATGCATTACACATGACTTTTATAGTTGAACTTGTCCAAACTCGGTGACCCTATCCCATGCTACTGTAGAGTATACTTCCTTAAAAGTGACACAGTTATCTTTCTTATTTAAGTATAGCCAACCAAGTTCTATTATGTTTATCTTAGAACCAGTCTACAACTCACCTAGAGCAAACTCCAAAAATATATAAATAGGAGAGCAATAGAGTGAGGTTTCTCAAAGAAAGATTGTCTTCTTTACGGTACTCGTCCTGCAACAAGAACAACATCATTTACCACGTTAGATCTTCAGCAGTAAGAGAAGTGAATCCTCGAAATAAAACTTCAATGCTCAAACCACTTAGTTAAATAAGGGAACCATCAGAGACAAACATTAGAACAGTAACAATGTAGCTCCATCTAAAGCGTAAGATGCACAACCTCAAAAGATGCAGCGAGTGAAGCCATGAGTTTTGCACCAAAATCCTGCCCGACAGAATAGGCCATGCCTGCAACAAATGCGGCAAAAACAGCAGCGTACCTTCAAAGACAAGAAGAGGGGGGGGGGGGGGGGGGGGGGGGGGGGGGGCACAAGCAGCTCTGTCAAAAGTGCTGAATAGGAACAAAGAATGAACAAGGCTCTACAGTATCACACATAATTACATTAAATTTAAGGAAAAAGAGGAAACATAAGCTCACTGTTCATTGCCACGGGGGCCACCAGAACACGCAGCCAACACCTCGCCACTGATAATTTGAGTACTGACACTGCGGCTGAGAGACTGGAAAGTGCAAAACCGAAGAGTTGAAGTTATTACTCTAGGAACTGTTATCAGGGACACCTCCATGGACCAAACATTGAGAACTTAAAATACTACTGACTACAATAAGAACCATTCTACTAATGTGATTCAAACATGTGATATATATGTGGAAAAGCAATCAAACAAAATAACAAAGGAAGGACATACTCTAAATATCGTAGCCATTTCCCCAGTAATGGATTCTATATTGAACTCAGACAACCTGTTCAGTAGACCTGGAACAAGTCATAAGATTAGACCCATGTTGATCCAATGCACATAAGCAACCACTTAGCAAGGAAAAGAAAAGCCCAACTTCGTACCGCGAACTCGTCTTCGGATTTGAGTATGATCTTCAGACTCATCTCCAGCTCGAGATCTCAAATGGGGAGCAATATACTTCACACCAACCAGTGGTGCAGAGACATCAACAGCCTCCTTCAATTCAGCCCCTACGTCAACTGATTCTGCACCGGAATCTCTATTTTCTGTGTTACTTGGCCTTTCACCTTCTTGGCTCTGCTTTGATTTCTTTCTCCTCCTGCGTCTCTTACGTGAAGATATCTCGGAGTCAGCTTCTTCATGTTCCACCTCGTTGTCTACTGGTTCCGACAAATCAGATTCTGCAACATCTTCAGAGTGGGTTTCTTCTGTATCTTCTGCAGAGGACATATCCTCTTCACTTTCGCTGGCAGAACTGCCATCCTGTATATTCTCATTGGGGTAAGCTTCACCATCTGAGACATCTTCTTCATTGAAAGATTCAAATGCAGATGGCATGCCTCCGAGAAGATCATTAAGACCATCATCCATGCCCCTCAGCATTTTATCCTTGACCTTAAGTTTCTTAGCAAGCCTTTTCTCAACTTCCAAATCTTCATGTGCCAACAGTTCCTCATTTTGCATCTCTATTTGAAGAAACTCTTCAAACCCTGTTTGTGATTTTCTCTTCAAACTATCCTTTTCTTTTACATTCCCTCGAGCAACAACAGAATCTTTCACCTTCCCTTTCGTACTCTTCCTCTGTAAATCCCGTTCAATCAACAAGTTAGGAGCTACCTTTCCACCTGATCTCTCTTTCAGACTCTTCGCCTCTGATTTATTCGATTTCGAAGACTTTGTCTTTAATTGCTCAGCTTTCTTGAGGCCTTTCAATTTCTGCACAACCGGACATTGGGCTAAGCATTACAGGAGATCCCCACACCCTCATTTCTCAACCAAACCACTTAGCAACCAAAAGCAATGTACCTGATGTGCCAACCAAGAATCATTTTTTCTCTGCTTCGTCTCCTTTCTAGCTTCTTTACGCTTCTCTCGTCGTGACTTCTCTCCATTTTGCCTCTCTGTAGTAGCAACAACACAAAGAATTGGAATTACAGATTTCCAACAGAAACAAGTTGAAAGGAACGGAAAAAGGAGCTGCAAAAACGAAGAGAGCAAGCTGCTCAGTCCTCACCCATAATCTGCAGTCAATTCAATTTACTACAACGAAGAAGCTGCCATAAAAAATAAAAGAAACGGGTAAGAGAGACAATAATCACGGAATAAATTCCCGCTTAAGATTGGACGGAGAAAGGAGCGAATCACTAAAAACCAAATTGAGATTTGAACTTCAAGCTCCATGCTACACCAAAAGAAAAGCTGAAAAGAAGCAGCCGTGAGCATGAAATTGAAGGATGGGTCGGGCGGAAGTGTCGGAGCTGTGCGGGGTTGCTACAGTCCTTCCTCCGCCACTCGTTTTCTTAAATTAGAAGAATCGAAACCCTAGCTCTCCATCCAAAAATTTCAAAACCAGGAGCTCGTTTCCAGTTCAGACTTCATAATATTGACGATTCACGAAGAGAATTCCAACCTTCACGGGCAATGGCTAACCTAGTGACTTCTCAGGTTGGGGGTGCCGAATGAAAAGTGAAAACCCTTTTGGTCGTGCAGGAGAGACGGACGATGCGGAAACCAGGGCAGCTGTGGGGTGAGGGTAGAAGAAATCGTTTGGGGAATCGACTAGAAGGAGAGAACGAGGAAGCGGCCGGGAAGCGGGAGAGCGCGGCTATGGTTCGACCGGCCGAATAATTGATTTGTGCAGGTCAATGTTGTCAAACCGGTTAATGGTCGAATTGGAGTTCAACCAATTTAAGTCCGTTCTGAGTTCTAACTATAGGTATCAAAACATGAACCGACCCGAGTAACCCGCCCAATCAACCCGATCCACAACCCGTCCGCAACCCGATTTAACTAAAAGTCAAAGACCCGCAACTCGCCCAACTCGCAACCCGATTGACCCGTAATCTGATTAACCTGCAACTCGCTTGACCCGCAACTCGACTAACCCGAACCCAATTAACCCAACCCAAACCCGCCCGATTGGCACGAATAATACAACATATATATTTTAGTGTATAAATAATATATGTAGATAATACATATATATACATACATAATATGGTGCCTTCTACGGTATCTCGGGTGAAATCCGGGGTACCGCATGCCTTGAGTATGAAAACGCTATCTAGACCTCGAATTGACAGGATTTTTGGACATGATACTATACCCTAACCCTTAATGAGTGAACCCTAGGTCCTAATTATCTAATCATAAGCTATAAATGCTAAGATGGTGCATTGATTTGTTTGCCTATATTTGGACGAATCATAACCGTCGATTATTGTTTCTAATTAAATTGATCTTGGTAGGGGTGTTCAAATGGTTACTGTTAGGGGTGTACATGGGTCGGGTGGTCCGGGTTTAGGCATTTTAATCACCCGACCCATGCACTACGGTTTGGGAAATATTAAACCCAAACCCACCCAAAAAAATCTAAACCCTACGGTTTGTTTCTAATTGGGTTGGGTCGGGTTGGCGATATTTTTAAGTAAAAACCCAACCCAACACAAAATATGTAATTATTCTACATCATAAAAGTATTTTTTAAAAAATTAAAAATTCAAACGAATAAACCGAGGTGAAAGGTATCAAAATTCACAAATATTGTTTGAATTTTAATAAAACTTGATTTACTTCAACTTATGTCTAGTTTTTTTCATGCCATTTGTTGAAATATGCTAAAAAGGTTACAAATGAACGCATCCATAATATGATATTCTTTTAAAATTGTACACAAGAAAAAAAAATATGTGAATAATAGCTATATTAAATATATGTCTAAACTTTAAGTCGAAGAATGCATTAGATTAGTGAGACTTTAATAGAAAAACATGGCGAAATATCTTAATTTTCTCATAAGTATGACTATATACGACATAAATATTTTTTTTGGATACGAACTCATACCAATAATTGGAACACGGGTTGGGTCGGGTTATACGGGTTGTGAAATCTAAAATCCAAACCCAACCCAAATGAGGCGGGTTGTACAAAAGAAAACCCTCACCCAACCCAAAACCTTCGATTTAGCGACAAATACGGGTGGGTTGGGTCGGGTTGGACGGGTGGGTCGGTTTGCGGGTGTGTTTGTTCACCCCTAGTTACTGTGGTAATAACCAAACCAATTAAGCATAAATTTCATTAACCATGGAATAAAATGTCTTAACCAAACTGTCCAAATTAACACGAAAACCAAATTAACCAAACCAAAGTTTAATTGGTTTGGTTAATCGGATAATCGGATTAACCAAGTAACATAACATTACATGAAAACAATTATTTTGTTAATGAATAAAACATAACCATATGTTATTACTATCATAAACTATCATTATATATAAGCAATAATAATAAGACTAACCATCCATAATTATCATCATCATTCGAGTTAATACATCATTCATCATCTCTGCACCTAATATAGTTAGCTCAAAACAAACATTTAACATAAATATTAAATACATACCAATACCACTCATAAGGAAGTTAAAGCTCTCCTGCAAAACACTTTAATTATAAATAGTTTGAGGTGGTTGTCATGGTATTGTACGTAATCCTAAAGTCTAATAGTTGTCCAAAATGTTTTGGTTTAGTAAATAGGCTGGCCCATTTAAGTTTTGACCCATAATGTTTTGGTTTGTTGTACACATGAAAATAAGAGAATCAAGAAAATTTGGTTTGGTTGCATAGAAGTATAAATAATTTTGTATATTAGGTGAATCATTAATTGGTCAATTGGTTTCATTGGTTAGCAATGTTGAAACCAAACCAAACCACATAAACCAAAAAATCTAAATTGTTTAACCAAATCAGACAAATTATCCAAATTAACCAAACCCAATTAACTGAATGCTACCGGTTAATATGGTTACCACTATACCAATCCGTTTGAACACCCCTAGATCTTGGGGTATAAGATTTAGAGAATTAAGACCTAGATGTTGATTTTAAGGGTTAGAGTATAGTATCATGTCCGAAAGATTAGTCAATTCAAGTTCCGGATAGCATTTTCTTACTCAAGGTATGCGGTACCCCGGATTTTACCCTATGTACCACATATATATGGTTCAGACTAGCGTACATCTGACGTACGTGGTACGCAGGTGTTCACACTTGAAAATTAATTATTAATTAAAATTAAAGTAATTATTATTAATAAAAACATAAATTACAATCACATCCATTAAGTTACTTTTCTATGTGTAATGATCCCAAAATATAGTTTACCATTCGTTATGCTTAATCAAGCATTCAAAAATTCATTATAACAATTCCGAGACCTTCTATCTCCTAACAATAATTTAGAATCCGATTTGCTTTAATTTCTTCAAATCGAACTTTCATTGATTAATTATCCTTAAACAACATTATCGGTTTTGCTTCACTTTTCTTGTCATCTCTGGAAGTTAGAATGGAAGTATCCAGTCACTTGAAACTGTAGGAGCCTAAGCAGTCTCTTCCGTTTCCAATCCATCTAATTCTTCTTCAATTAATAGTTATCCTTTTATCCCTTCCTAACTAGAATATGATCTCCCAACTTTCTCCCCTATTTTCTCAATCTATATCTCCCTAATTCCAACCCAAGCGACATCATCGTCGTTGGAGCGCAATTGAGGAAGACCATGGTGGGAGCTACGCTATTGCCTCTGGAGATCATAAGAGCAATTTTAGGTTCAAGAACCTTGCCGTGTCGAGGTCGAAGGGGGTGAGAGACTGAGAGTCATTCATCGGGGAAAACCTTGATCTGGTATGTCCAACACAACTAACTTTGAATCGTTGTTGTTAATAATTTTTGGGCGATTGCTTGGATTGGTTTCTAGTTCTTGGATTGCCTATGGATCCTCATTTTCACTCCTTTTGACAAGACCCAAATCTACTGTTCTCGCCTCTTCGGCAACAACAATCTGACAGAGTTTCCATGCTTTGTTTCTCAGAACAACTAACATAGTTGCCCATAATACCTGGAATAAACAACGGAATTACTGTTTCCCGAGAAAACCAAATGCCACCGCCGGTGCCGAATTCGGTTTCCGGCGATGTTGATTTGATGTTTCGCGGTGGAAACTCTTGCGGTGCCGTTTGATCGAATGCACCGCTGATTGCCGAAATCGAGACGACCGTCAAATATCCGCCGCCGAGTGTCGGCGCCGTTGATTTGATCGATGCACCTCTAAATGGTGAAATCACCGTGACCGTCAAATATCCACCGCGGGGCGGTGTTGATTTGATCGATGCACCTCTGACTTCTAACCAAGAACGACCGTTACTACGGTTCGCACCTCTCCAAACTACGTTCGAACGAGGGTGTTTTGGTTTTTTGAGGAATCTACACCACCGCTACTCCTATGGAGATTCCTGTGGAGAGCTCCGCGACTACGACTAGGACTACAACTATGGAGATCCTTCCTGGAAGGAGAGCTCCGCGAAGGAGTTACAGAGAAAAGGTAAAGTTTTGACAGAGTTGTTCTGTGTTGATTTGCTTGTCCTTCTCTCTCCTTGCTCCACTGCTTTTATTCGAAAAACCGCTTCGTAGTCTTCACGCTAGGTGGCACCGCTTCCTCAACTGCTCCGTTGTGAACTCCCACGTGTCTCAACCGTCTTGATCTCCTCTTCGCTCGGGTTGGTGTGAATCTCACGCGATGTCGTTTTCTTCCCCAAACAGCTTTGTTTGCTTCTTTACTCCACGACATTGTTTTATATTAAACACTGTCGTTTGCTAATACAGCGGTACCGTTGGGCTTACTCGCGGTACCATTTTTAATTAAACGACACCGCTAACATAGCCAAAAAATCCCATGGAACCGCCGCCAATCGGCGCTCGCATTGGACTAGGCGAATTTTGGTTTAATTAATCGATACCGCTTATCAGGCTCTCGCGGCATCGTTTTTAAATCCGCGGTACCGTTTTAACTCTCCGCGATACCGCTTGTCTCCATGCGGTACCGATTTTCCCCTTCCGACAAGGAATAAAGATAATAATTAATAATAATAATCAAAACTCCTTTCCCAACACCAATACCAAACGCGCGGCCCACAACTTGCTTCCGGTAATCGGTGTCATTTCTAGTGTTGCGGTTCAGCTGAGCCTCCTTGCGGCACCGTTCGGCACCGTTTTAACTCTCCGCGGTGCCGCTTGTCTCCATGCGGTACCGCTTCTCCCCTTCCCACAAGGAATAATAATAATAATAATAATAATAATAACAATAATAACTCTTTTTCCAACACCAATACTACGCGCGCGACCCCATCCTGTTTTCTAGTAAACAGTGTCGTTTCCACTGTCGCGGTACCGGTGAGCTTCCTTGCGGTACCGTTTTTCTGTTTCGCGGTACCGTTTTAACTCTCCACGACGCCGCTCAACTCCAAACGACACCGTTTTTTACCCGCAGTATCGAATTAAATGCCGAGACTAATTAATGCGGCATTTAATTTAGGCCAAATTAATTTTAGGTGTCAACAAATGCCCCCCACAATTTGGTTTATAAGAATTATGAACCAAATTGTTGACATAAAATAAATCACCTAAAATACTTTGTGAACCACGCAGACCAAATCCAAAACAACCCTGTTGGCAAAATTATGTGGTTTGCCATAACAAAGTGATGGCCACGCAAACCAATTCTCCTCGGTGTTGTGTATTCCGTCCACAACACTGCATTGGCTCTGCAACGCTGTGGCTAGCCTTTTTTACCAAAACACAGTGGATTAGTCCCCACACACCGCAA